ACCTTTGGTTATCAGGAGCTGTACCGGAGGCTCTCGGTGAGTAACTGTTGCGGTTGTTTCCTCCCTGTAGGCCTCTCTGAAAGGCAGATGGGTTCCCTGTGTTCCTACTTCTTGTGCTGCTGAATCAGCACCTTTTTGTATCAGTTCAGTGTCTGTTCTGGCCAGCTTCTTGCAGCAGGCTTTTTTCACTCTGCTACCAAGAGCAAGGCATCTGTTTCCCATCCTTTTCTGAAGATTGCGCTGACTTTGGGAGCACTGCTCCAAAGCAGTCTTCAGTGACTTTGACAGTACAGTATAAGGAGTGTTGTAGTTGCATTATCAATATGGGACATGTTCTGTGGATAAAGGAATTTTCTTCTGGTCTTAGAGCCTTCCACGAGAGGGAAATTCGCTGTTCAAACTTAAAGGTTAATAAGGCAGAATATTGTATTCTTGTCTTACAGAGAAAATCAAACCAGGAGGAGATGCAGGCATGCCTGAAATAGAAGATAATGACCCTGCTAAAGCTGAAGATACTCCCACTGGTTAGGAGAAATATTCTAATACTTTCACATTTGGGTTCTTGGTGGTGTATATATTCTGTTTGAATACCATGTGTTTCATAGTCAATGCAAAGCTTTAAAATCTGTCTATGGTAATAAAATTCAAGTGGGGTGTAAGATTGGATAATTTTTACCCTGCTTGATAGGTTTGAATTCTCAAAACTGAATGCTTCTGATAATTTGCCCTGCCCCCCCCCTTGTATTTTATATTGTCATCTTTGGTTTAAAAACATGAAAACAACAACAACTACCACAAAAAACTTCACAGGATTGTTAGAGGAAGACCTCATATATAGTGTCTGTTTGTTTCATGTTAATTTTTTTGTCCATGTGTTTTGCTTTAGCTTTAAAGAAGCCACTTATTTCGGCTCCTAAAAGTGAAGATCATCAGCCTGTTATAAATCTTCCCACTGAACAGCCCCATGCTCCAAATCTAGCACCAGGTAAAATTCTTATTAGCAGGTGACAAGTCAACCTTTTGTAGGGAACTTACCGTTTAATATCTGCTACCGTATTGTGAATGTTAGATGTACATGGCCAGCTCCCTTTTCATGTTTGATACGGTTACAAAAAGAAAAACAACGATCCGTTTCTGCAGGAAACAAGATTGAGAGTGTGTTCTTAGTCTGGCTTCCTGAGGCACTGAGGTTGCTGGTTGTATGATCTCTTTTTGTCCTCCCCTCACCCAGTAATTTCTGAGCCTTTTGACCAACTTCAGCCAAATTTGAGAGTTGGAAGTTTCAGAGATAAGTGCTTCAAGATTTCTCCACTGAACAGAGGAGAGTAATTGAAATTAGTATTCATCCTTAGGGGTACTAATTAGACAGGGCTGCAACATATCATCAGGAGTTGATTGTTGATCTGTTGTTAGCCAGTTATATTCAGAGACTAATCAGTGGTACAATCTCTTGCTCAGTGTCCTCCTGTTTCTGTGAACAGCTCACTTGAGGGTGATGTGGAGGAGGTTTAGGACATGAGAGAACTAAAAGTACTGCAGTGAAAGGGTTTAGAAGAATTGCAGTTAGAAAGGACACAAATCCATAGAAAATGTACTTAAATTTCTTACTCGTGGATCGAGTCACTTTGCTTTAATGTCAAAGAGAACGTTAGGTTATATCTGCACTGCAAGTGGCACGTTCAAGTGCTGTCCTGCGAAAAAACATTAAATATAACGTACTCATTATATATTTGTGACGTAACAAAAAACTTCAAGCTGTTTGGTCATGCCCGTTGTTGGTTCTTTTGAAAAAAAGGCAACAGAAGTATTTCTTAACTTCTTTCCTTTTGCAGTGGATGCGTAAGCAGATTAGAATACCAGAACTAGTGAGCTCAAAGTCTGTATACACATTTAAAGTTTATTATTTCCAAATGTCAAATCTTTTAAATAGTTCATTTCCTTTTGTTGTTCTGAGGTAGTCCTTCATTTTGACTTTTATTAATGAGAAAACATAAAAGATAGCAAGTGAAAAGCTTGTTTCGTGGAATTTAGAGTTTATCAACAGAAGGTGGATGCCAATTTCAGGGGGACCAAGGTTTTCTGTATTCCTTGGTTATGTAGTCCTGTGATTCTGCTTATTTTTAGCATAACTTCTGTGACTTACTGCAACCTTCTCCTCAGATCATAGCTCTTGAAACAATAAATGATGCTTAGTAGATTTGAAAAGCAGAATCAGAGGGAGGATTAAAAAAAAACCCATAAATGTATTACGGTTCTGGGCTTCATCAAGCACTTAAGTACATACAGAAAATCAGCTGAGGAGGTAACGACTTAGGATTGATTATGTATTAAAATGCAACGAATTATCTTTTGCGGTAACATTATAGCCTTCTTTTGGAACCATGTAAAAACCGAACGAACTTCCTCATTCTGTAGGTTTGCGCAGTGACAATGATGGAAATGCTGATATTGCGAAGCAGATACCTCCAAATTCTCTCCAGCACTTAAATTTTGAAGAAAATATGGAAAATCAGAAAGAACACAAAATTGAGACAGACCATATAAAAATTCCGAAGAGCAGAGTTAGTGACTTGCAGAAGATGAAGCAAAGTAAGTTGGCCAATATCATAGACTTCAATATATTAAGAAAATCACTTCATTTTCTGTCTGTAACAGCGCTTGTCTGGAAAATAGGAACCATTACAGCAGGTGGCCTTCTGGAGAGTAAGCCTGAAAAGAAATGTAATATATTAGTGTGTAAACGATATTCCTTATTGTGTCATTTTTCATATACATATATATATTCAGTCATTAAAAAAATTATTTGCTTATAGGTGTTTAAAAGGCTTTTGGAAATTACTAAACGTTTGAATAGATTAAGTCAAGTTACTTCTATTCACACTGTATTACGTGACTTAAATACCATGCTTTGGACAATGTCCGAAGAATTCAGCCCTGACGTAGGGGGTCTTTGTGGTGGTATATGTGTATTGGCCAGACGTTTGTTCTTTGCTGTGATGAGGAAGTTTTCCAGAACCCTTCTCTTCCACGGCTGCTCAAGGAAGAAGCCTTCAGACAGGAGCAGATCACCTGTGTGATGGTGGTCGTGCGGGCAGCCAGGAGGTGAGAGCTTGCACACAGACCTCCAGCTGTTGGCCTGCGCTGGGCTTTGGGATGCGTCTCTGCCTTGCGGCTGATACCCTGACACTGGGAGAGTGTTACGCCTGCAGCATTTCATTTGGCATCTTCCTGTAGGGACGCCGCATTGAAACAAGTTTCTTGTGGTATCAGCAGAGATACTATATTCCTAAGTATTAGTATAGAGTATACTGACTAGGTATGCCTTAACCTAGTTATTTTTAAAGAACCATTTGTTTAGCATTTGGGTGTGGAAGGGGCATTAGGAAGAAAAAAACATAGTGCTGAAACATCTCTTACTGTTTTTTTTTTATCCAAATAAGATTTTTTTCTTTATTTTATATAGCTATATAAATTCAACTTTAAATTTCTTTGTACTCACAGCTAAGCAGTTTTAATGTAGGCTTTGATTTCTATTATTAAAATCTGTCTGTATTCCAAGATGACAAGTTACTACATCAGAACAGCTGTCTTCAGAGCCACAAGAACTGGGAGGAGAAAAGGATTCTATAGCCTTCTGCCAGAAACCTGTGTTAATTCTCTGTATCGGATAAACAGGGGTAGGGAAATAGCCATTTTGTGGAAATAGAATCATGAATTGATTTCAGTGATCAGCGAAAAGAATTCTGAAAGCTAGGGTCACTCCCAGGAACATGAAACTGTGAATTCATTTTTGTTATAAAAGTTTTAGTTTGGGAAGTTTCCTTCATTAGAGTTAAGTTGTTGTGGTTCCTTTTCACACTCTTGAACATGACTGGTGATTTCATAGCTTGGAGAAATTGCAGGAAAAAAGCATTAGCCTCTAGCAATCTCTTAAATATTCCTTGAATAACAGAGAAATAAGTTTAAAATAATACTCCATTTATTCTTGTAAAACATTGTGGTTGCTATTCTGAAGCAGAGGTTCAATTAAAACGGGGTCTGTGAGCACACAGTCAGATTTGCTTAGCAGATAGCTGCAGGGTGTCTGTGGGCATCAAGGGGTGTAGGGGGATGTGGGAGTTCAGTGTGTTCTCTCCTGCTCCCCCCAGGCCCTTGTGGCCCCCCAAAGGGTCAGCGCCCAAACCCCTCCGAGAGGTTTAAGAAGCTACCCGAAATGGTTTCAAAACCATTAACAACTTCGGGAGTTACCATCATACCGCAAGAAGGCGCATCTTTAAAAAGCGAACGGAAAGAGGATTTGAGGAGTTCTAGAGACCCAGCAGCCCAGCTCTGATACCTGGAAAGGTAACAGAACAAATTCTCATCAGTTTGGATATAATGTGACAAGTGGCTAATGTCAATTTTTCAAGAACAGATTGTGACAAAGTGATACGATCCGAAAAGGAACAAAAGCAGTAAAAACAGGAATGTGACTTTGTCATAGGCAAATTAATGGAGACCTGGTCAGGAATAAATTGCCATTTGGTGGGTGCAGGACTTTTAAGAAAAGAGTATTCCAGGCATAGGTATCACCAACAGATTTATTTGAGAAGCTTCTGTGAGGTTTACAAAGAGGCCTCCTTTGCTTGGCAGTGTTTGGTATTTGAGTGTTGGATGATAAGCAACATATGAGATGTGATTTCAGCAACATAAAAGTTTGTAAACATAACAGTAGTCCGCAACTAAGAATGCAGAATTACCCATGCAGAGTAGGTGACAAGTAGCAAGTGAGCAGTTCGGTCAAAATCGATGTGGTCGACAGTGGATATTAGTTACTAACAAACATTTGCAGTGAGCTTTTTCTTCTGGGATGTGTTAGCAAAAGGAATGTCAAATAAGATAATGAGATGGAGTAACTAACTCTGTTTTACCTAGTGCTTGTGAGGCCATCCTCTGGCTTTAAATGTCAAACAAAGATGATGGGAAGCTGGAAGGAATTCAGAGGAGAGGGGGGGGAAAAAAGTTTAGTATGAGGGGGGGAAAGAAGCTCTAAAAAGACCAGGGTTGAGGAGGTAGGGAATGGACATCAATTTACTCTTGTTTTTTAGAAACAGATCTTTAGGGAAAGCTTCAGTTACTTCAGTATCACTCGTGGATCTTTCTGACGTGGTGGGGATAGGTGTGTTCAGAATTGGCATGCAACCTGTGCAAGCCTTTCTTCCACTCCGTGTATCCTGATATGTGCAAGACTATTTAGTTTATCAAAGGAGCTTCTTGAAGATCCTGTGCTCGTCTGGCTGAGTGACTACAGCTGAAATGACAGAGCTTCATAGGTCAGTTGCTGGGGTTTTTTAGTGGATGGGCTGTCTTCCCTGGTTATTGATTAAATGCTAGGGAGGCCAGGCTTTGTAGGCAGGAGCGGTGAATGAAATGTCTCCATTGTAGGCTGTGAATGGGTACTGAAGAGTCAGTAATTGTCCCTGAATAGTCTTTTCCTTTTCTCTTTGCTCCTTCATCTTTGAGATAACTTACATTGTAATGATGCAAGGAGGGAGAGAGTCTGCCACGTATGGAAATAGCTAATCCAGGTTTGCAGAAGATTTATTTCCTGATAGGTCAGCAGTGGCTGTTTGGAAAGGTCCATTGGTGATACATTCATCCCTCTGCTATGGAGGAGCCCAGCTCTGGCGCATGGCTTTCAGTGCAGGCAGTTGCCTGGCTGGGGTTCTTGTTCCTGAGCTCTTCAGATCTTGCTGTGCAGGAGCCCGTGGGATGAGACTAGTCACCATCACTGGTCAGGGTATCTGCCATATCTGTCCGGTCTCAGAATAGGGAACTTCTTCCCACAAGATGTTTTCCTTTTTTATTTTGATAGCATAGATTTAAAAAGTAACTTTGGTACAGAGATGGGCACGTTGTGGCCATGCGGTATCAGGAGAAGCAGCACCTGAAAGTGACTGCAGGAACGTCACTATTTGTGCTCTTACCTGGCACCCTGGGAAAAGCTGGGTGCAGCAAACCTCTGGTCTGCGCTGCTGTTTGAAGTTGTCTGTAAGCAGGTGGACCACTGCTCCGAGTCGTGTGTTTGTAAGGATCCAGCATTGAGTAATAATACCCCACGTGTCTATTCAGAATTCATTTCAGCAGATGTTACTTGCAGATTTTAGCATCAGTGACATCCTTACGGGGCATCCCGTGCTATCACTAACCTCTTGTGCTTCATGACAAGTAGTCAGCCCGTGTAATGCCTGCGTTATGGCCACTGACTCGTGTTTGGAGTGATTTGAGATCTGCAGCACCATCGGGATTGCAGATCTCGTCTGCCCGTTTCAGCAACCTGAAATTGGTGCATTGCTGGCTCGAGCTACCAGCGACTCCTGTCGTGGTGTTTGCCTGCACTCTTGGTATCCCAAGACCGTTATGTGCCATGTGTTAGAGACTGATGTTCTCCCAGCGTTGTGTGAGAAGTCACCTACTGCCTACATCTTTTGTACACCTGACTGCACGCACAGGCAGTGGAGGTGCTGTTGAGACCGCCTAGCCCAGAACGACTGCCGGTGAGGTTTGTGTAGCTTTGAGGTTTGAAGGTAGCTTTAGCTAAAATACTGAACGCTTGAAGCAGAATGAAGCACCCGTAGTGAAAGGGGAGCTGCATCCTGAAGCTGTGCTGGAACCCCAGCTCGCCAGGGCCGTCCTGTACGCTGGGGTGCTTGGGCGAGCTCCAGCTCACAGGCCTGTATGAACCTGCTGTGGTTCCTAGGATCTCCTTCTAATATTTTAACCTTTCCTTCTGTCAGCTTGAATTTACTCAGTACTTGTTCGTCACAGTATTTCTGGCATACCTACAGGCTTAGTTTTGCTGTAAGTTAAGTGCATTCGGTTGTCTTTCCATAGCTTGTTTTATATTTAACATGTGCAAATTTTACAGTTCTGTCTGCTTTTTATATATAATGCAGTGTCCAAAAATACAAACAATAATAGCAAGGATTACTCAAATTAGAGATGAATAGTGAATGAATAATATAGGTAACTTCTGATTTCTAAACAGATCATAGTTTTTTCTTGCTTGTTATTTATGAAAATAACTGAAACTTCTGTTTTTGTACATTTGAACTGCACTAGATGTGATTCTTCTGCTTTTCTTCCCCACCCAGATAAACACTACGTTACTGTTTCTGTCCTGATTTTTATGTACTGCCACATATGATAGTTTTCATTGTTTTAAGAAATAATTTCATTTTTGCATCGTCCACTGTAACCCATCTCCCCTTTTTTAATCCTAATGTTGAAATCGTATTCTCTAGTTTTACTTCTCTGTTTAATCGCTTCCACTGTGAATCACTTAACTTACCAGACTTTTTTTCTCAGTCCATTTCCAGTCTGTAAAGATTGTATCGCACTTTAATCCTCTTTTTTCCATTTATACATAATCCCTCTGGACTTGTATCCTCTGCAGACTCAGTGTTGCATTCTTTAGGCAACGGGCAAGCAGACTGAACTGCATTGGACTTGAACAGATCTCCTGGTATCCCATTAAACACCAGCTCTGAACTTGACATCACACCATTAATCTTTCATTGTGTGCTCGGTTGACTGTCTAGTCATTTCATACTTCCACCTAATTCTCATTTTTCTTGTGTATTGTTTCAGTCTCTGGAACTACTCTGAATTCTTTGCTGGGACACAAAAATACTGGATTCAGAATGTTTTGAAAACTGTTAAAGCTTAGTAGGAAACCAGAGTGTAAAGACAAATTAATTGGGTAGTTAAAAAAAATCCGTTCAGAGATGCAAGGCAGATCTTTGGTAGGTTTTTACCCTTGACAGTACGGTACACGCTCTGCAGACGTTACCGTATACAGTGTCAGCAATGTATTGCTCCATGGTGTGTAGAAAAGTGCCAGTCCTCCTCAGGAAAAAAGTCTAGGTACAAAAACTTCCACTTAGGCGCTTCAACATTTTAAGAAAACTTTTATTAGTGTTTGTAGGTAATCCAAGATGGAGCTTTTTGTTTGGATGCTTACTCTGGCTCTTTTCTCCAGAGTGAAGCTTATCACCATCGGATTTCACAAGATCCAAATGCCGGCTGACCGAGTACGGCCCTTTTGCAGGGAGGTGATCCAGAAGCCTCGTTGTTCTCCCCCTGCCCGAGCCCTCTCCCTTCTACCCTCCTTCTCCTCCAGCTGGAAGTACTACAACCCCCCGACTATCTTAACCTGCCGTCTGCTTTCGTTTAGAATCTTCCTATTTCTTTCCTCTCTGCTTCTGACTTAATCCTTTGCCTACTTCACAGGCCGATTCTTTGATGAGAATGAATCCCCTGTTGATCCGCAGCAGGGTTCTAAACTGGCAGATTATAATGGGGATGATGGTAACGTGGGTGAGTATGAGGCAGACAAACAGGCTGAGCTGGCTTACAATGAGGAAGAGGATGGTGATGGTGGAGAAGAAGACGTCCAAGGTGAGCTTGGGCCTTATCTCCATCCCACTGTAATAAAATCCATGCTGAGTTTACTTGTTGAATTTGTGTAAAGCCTCGCTATTTTTAGCTGATCACAAATTTCTAATACAGAATAAATAAGCTTTAGGCAATCTTTACAATTCGGTCTTGCTCTCCGTTTGAAAGCACCGTCACAGCAGTTCTCAGTGAGAGGATTCTGATGCCTTATTGCAGTCATGTATGTGGTTTCTGCTGGGAAAGTCAAGACACCTCAAATTTCAGAAATGGTTTCGTCTAAAACCCCAAATCTGGTATCTAGCAATTTGAGATGTAGTCTTTGACGTTACTAAAGCAATTTTCAAATACAGAAGCATAGGTTTTTTTGACTACTGCTTTTGTGACGCCTGCCTTGAGGCGGTATGCAATTGAGGTCTCAGTCAGCAATTCCAAGTGTAATTTTTGTGCATTCTACACAGATTCAACAGGCTTCTGGTTTTCCTTGCTAACCAAACTTCAAAACTCCTTAATCTGGTGCTAGCCTAATACCTGTATCTGCATGTTCACCACCTCTTGTTCTGCATGCATTTCAGTGCATTGCCTCTCCATCGCTTGTCTGCCATGTATCTGCCACGTCGTCTACCATTCTCCATCGAGTTGTTTGGTAATGTTTTGTGAAAGGCTTGCATGTCCGTAGGGTGAAAATGTTTACCTAAACATATATAGTATTTCCAATTAAGGAAAGCGCAAAATAAAGAAAGGGGAAAAAAAAAAAAAACCACAACCCAAACCTGACTTAAGTTCTACAGGCACCCTGATTTTGATCCTCATAATGCAAGTTTTTTAGCAGGTAGTTTTTCAGATGTGTATTTAATTGGTATCCAAGCATAATTAATGGGAAAAGCTGGTGAACAGCAACTGATTTCTGTGGGCATGCATCTCACTATGCAGTGCAAGCATTTTTTGGCTGGGCTGGTAGTTTGAAACTCCTGAACAAGCAAAAGTATGGCTCGGAACCCCGGGGCAATTAATTAACTTACTGATAAAAATGAAAACTGTGTTGCTGCTCCAGAAGATGTGGCCTGTTTTGTTACACTTTTGCTCAAAACTAGCCGTGGGTGTTGGTCACTCTGGATTGCTAACGTCTGTTCCTCTGGATGGGTTATTACTGGGTTGTAATTTGCTCTACGAGCTGGCTTCTAAATGAAGGTACAAAAGTGTATACAGCTGCTTCTGTTGATGCTGTGGAAGTAGGAGGCTTGCTTCTAGTGATTATGAACTCGTAATGAAAAGGAAAGCACGGTATGTCGCACACGTTTGTATGTCTAAGCTCTGCGCTGCAAGTTGAAGCAGCTGTGTGCGTTGGGTTTTTCATGGTTTTTTAGTTCAGTTCCCCTTAGCAAGCAGTGGGTGATGCCCGGCTCCTCACCACAAGAGTTCCATAACCAGACTTGAGAAGCCAATTCCTGAAGTTTTAACCAAGGCCGCGTAACTGTTAACTGAATCCCTGCGAACGCCTGCCGTTCACCTCGCCCAGCCCTTGGGCTCGTCTCTGCCCGCAGCCGGGGGTGGGAGGAGGTGGGCCGCCCAAGCCGTGCAGGGACGCAGCTCTTGCTGTACCCCAGAGCTCCCTGCTGGTTTGCTTATCGGCACAAATACATCGCGACGGAGGCCTTCACAGGGACACGAACGGCATTAGGTAGCAAGAGTCAGTATTGTGTATGCTGTAGGCTGTTGCCAGTAAT